TTTTTCTCAAGGTCTGTGAAGTATGCTGCTGGGATTCAACTGGAATTGCATTGAATCAATATAGCAGTTTTAGAAGTATGGCCATTTTCACTATATTGATCCTACCCAGGAGCAAGTGATGTCTTCCCATTTTCTGATATCTTCAATCTCTCTTTTCAGAGTGTTATAGTTTTCTGCAAATCTTAAATGTTACACCTGTCAGATATGGTGCTGAACGCCTGTGATCCCAGGCTAGGGAGGCAGGGGCAGGAGGATCACTGCAAGGCCAGCCTGGCCTACATAGTGAGTTCAAGGCCAGCTTGAACTACAAAGAGACCCTGACTCAAAAAAGCAAAATAAATAAATGAATAAAAAAGCAAAATGCTATACCCATTAAATGATATCTGATTTCTTCCTAACCCCAGCTTTCAATAACCACCAGAGACTTTCTCTAGGAATTTGACTATTTTAGGGATCTCATTTGAGTGGAATTACATGGTACTTATCTTTTGTGACTGCCTTATTTTACTTAACATAATACTGCAACTTGTGACATAATTTCCTTCCTTTTAAAGCCTGAATACCATTGTAAGTATATACCACATTTTGTTTATCCATTCATTCACTGATGGACAGTTGGGTATTGTGAATAATGCTACTATGAAAATGAGTATATGAATACTTGTTTCAGATCTTAGTTTCACTTCTTTTAGCTATATATCCAGAAGAGGAATTGGTAGGTTATGGGAGTTTCCTTTTAGTGATGAAAATGTTCTAAAATTTAATGATAATGATGATTATACAATCCTGTGAATGTACTAAAAATCACTGAATTGTACACTTTAAGGGTAAACCGTGTATAACATGTGAATTACATCTCAATAGAATGTTAAAAATAAAACTTTTTTTTGTAATTTCAATACTTTTATTTCAGAAAAGTTTTCTTAAGTTTTAGAGTTTTTTCCCCTGGTATCAGGGATGGAACTCAGGACCTTGTGCTTGTGAGACAGGCAGCGGCACCGAGCTCAATCCCTGGTCCAAATTTTAGTTTTTGTATTTGCCTTATACACTGCTTTGGCTTTCTTCTTTGGGGGCACATTGTCACAACTATGTTGGATTAGCTATACTTAACTGTCAATAAACATTCTTTCCTCTTAAATCCCTCTCTTTCGTACTTACCTCTTTTTCAACTTTAAAACCTTGCCTATTTTCAATTTCACTTAGGAATTGGCTATTTTGTTTATTCACTCTTGTGTTTTCTTTAGTTTTCACTTCTAGAATACTTTTTAAAATTTCTTTCTCTTAAATTGTTTCACCTTACCTTTATTTTTTCTATTTATATTTCACACAATAGTTTTTCTTATTCTAACTTACATCTTTACTTTGGGTCTATAATTTTCTTATGCTCTCTATGCTAATTTAAAAATATTAGGCCATGGCTTTTTAATCTCTTTTATATTACAGTATATATGCTGCCAAAGCGAGCACTTTCATCTCTTTTTTACGTGTAGTCACCTTTTTACTTCCTTGAGGGACACTGATTTGCTCTTTATTCTCTCTAGTAAATTTATATGGACTTTGACTCCTGCTCAATTTTAAGTGGAGTTAGTTTTCCTGTATTTTGAGAGGGAACATGTGGTGAAAGTAGTGTTTTGAAATTCAGAGTCGTCTCTCCTTTTGCTTCTCCAGGTGCAGGTCTTGTCCTCTCAGCCTGTCCAGTGGGCCTGAGAGCTCATGCCCAAGCTGGAGCCTGTGAAGTCCTCTCCAGGTTCTGCTGCCTGTGAAGTCCTCTCCAGGCTCTCTCCCCATCTTACAAGTGCTCCAAATTCGCCTGGTGGGAATTCTGAGGACTCTAGCACTCAAGGCCTTCTGTCTCTCCACTTCCTTGGGCAGCTGTGATACCACAAAAGCCTTTTATTTTTGGTGACCTGGACATCTGCTAATTTGGGGACACCTTATCATCTGGTTTTATTATAGATGTTGCTTGGTTTTGCTGTCCTAGTTGCTCTGTCTGTTCTCATGACAGATTTCAAATTCTTTTACAATTAACGAGTTTCACTTTGAATAACTGGTCTGTGATCCAAAAGCCTTGACTGAATCTCTCCAAGATCCTTGATAGTGAGGTGTGCTGAGCTTGCAGTCCCCAGTGAGTCCCTCTTCTTGCTGCTGCTGCCACCAGGGTGGCCTCACAGCCCACAGGGGCCTCGGTCCCTCCGCCACTCATCCCGACCCAAAAATACAACTCTTAAAGGCTGAATCATGTATATAATTACTTCTCAGATCTTGACTGAATTAAATAATTAGTAAAATAAGAAGTCAATCTTGTCATTCAGGTAATTCTGATTCTTATTTTCAATGGACTGGCTAGTTTAAGCACTTTTTGAGACATAACTTAAGTGTTTCCTCAGCAATGCACATTAGAGAAAGGAAAAAGAAACAGTCAGTATGTGACTTTAATTCATAATTTTAATCTTTTTTCATTTTGTATCAGGAATAGTGTGAAAAAAATAACATCCACACCAACTATGGCATTTTTTATTTCATTTATTCTAGGCATGTCACTGACCAAATTCTTTTAAAGATAGGGAAATAAGACAGGACTTAATTCACTTTGACTTCAGGTTCACTTTTTTGAAATGTTACAATTATTTTACACAGAAGATATTCAAATGATACAGGGTTTGACTTTTTGCAGTAAAAAATACAATTAAAAAAGAAAACTCTTAAGTCCAATGTCACTGAATGGGGAAAGAGTCAATAAATTAAAAAAAAAACAAACTAGGAGAGACAAAATTTTGAGAAGAAAACGTATCAAATTCAGATTCTTCTCATCTTTGTTATACACAACTAGAAAAGCTAATGGCAATATAGATGGCTACTGATGCTCAGAAACCTGTTTTACCATTTTCCTTTCTGCTTCATCTAAATATTTTCAATAGTGTCAAGACTCAAAGACACAATTTTAGAAAGATGATAATAAGATCATCTCAAAGATTTCTCACGAGCTCCTCTGATCCGAGCAGAGCAAACTACAAGAAACCTTATTTGTCTGATTAATTTTTAAAGTAATAGGCTCTCTGTGATCCATTATAGAGAAGAGATAAGTTTTGGAAGTGAACTTTCAGTCTTGGTCGCAAGGCAGAATTCTAACTGCAGAGATGATTATGTTTGATAGTATTTCTTTCCAGCTAATACATCTTATATACGTTAACAGCTTTTCCTAAATAATTTTTCAAGGTTGATTTCAAATGAACACTGAAATACTACCAGTTGATTCAGCTGATTTCAGTTTTTATTACAGGTTTTTCAAAATCCATCTGTGTGCAGAAGCAAAATTATGAATGGCACTTCGAAGAGCTGAATTTCCCTCAGAGACATCCGAGGAACTGATGACTGAATACAATGCTTGATTATATGCTGCAAAATAAAGGTTTGCTCAGTGATGAAGAAAGTTAAATTCTAAACAGCTCTCCTACCTGCCTTCCTACTAGTACTGTTTCTCTACTCTGAGTCCCATAGGCATTAACTTTACTCGTGGAATAAATGTTTATTGAGTATTTCAATATAAGAAGAACTCTTTGAGGACAGAAAAGAGAATGGAGAGGACAGACACAATAAATAAATAAACAAACTGCAGTGTAATACTTTCCAACCAGAAGCATTTACAAAATGTCATCACAGAATGAAGTTTGAAATAAATGAATAACTGTCTGGAGAGGATTGAAAAGACTTCCAGAAATGGTACCTTCTAAGGTGGCCTTGAAGGGTTAGTACAAGTAAAGAAGGCAATATATGATACTTGACATAGTAAGTTTACTAGAAATAGCAAGTAGAGAGTGGTTTGGGGCTAGACAGAAAATATGCTGTGTATTGTGTACTGTCACAGGGATTCCTAGAGATTTTACAAAAGGGTAGTGATCATTTACGTATTTTAAAAAATATAACATAACACATAGACCTGATAAGAAACTAATTACACAGATGAGGTACCCTAGGAATACAAATACTGTATTGGCAGAATTTTTAGTGTATAACTGAGTCCTACATAATCTTTACACTATCCAAACCAATATACTTAAGGATGGACAGGAAACAGAAACATTAGTGACAATAAGAAGGTATTCATTTTATCTGACTGGGACTCTTGATAGAGGGCCACATTTTCCTCAGTATTCCTGGCAAAAATGGCAGCCTAATATGGACATATATGTAGTAAGTCTGTATTAGATACCTACCATTAAGTATGTATACAGCACAGAATTCTAAAGGACAGACCTCTAACTTATACAGCTACAAAAGGCAAGCTCTATGCCCAGTTAAAGGAGGACCTCAGAGTGGAATAAGGAGGAAATATTTCTTCACCATAAATGAAGATAAAAGGTAGCAGAGTAGATCACAAAAAGAAATAAAACTCACTGTAATTATTGTCATCATCTCAGAGCTGTTTTGTAAAGGTGTTATATACTCTCTTGTATGTAGTAAGCACTCAATAAATATTAAATTATCATTATCACTATTTTTATTGCGTTTTTGTGTGTTGGGTTTTTTTGGTACTGGGGATCGAACTCAGGACCTTCCGCTTGTGAGGCAGGCACTGGAACCACTGAGCTAAATCCCCAGCCTTTTATTGCCTTTTTAAAAAATCGCTATTAGAGGCCAGGGGTGTGGCTCAGTGGCACCACGCCTGCCTGGCAAATGCAAGGTCCTGAGCTCAATCCCTAGAACCAGAAAAAAAAAAAATGCTATTAGGCTCCAACTATTCCTTCAAGAAACTTACCTTTATGGTTTTTATAGAAAATACAATTGTTGGCACAGGTATCAGGATGAGCATCCCAAAAATCAGGACCACAAAAGCACAGTGGTGGTAAAGTAATATTATACAGCTTCATTTTCTCCTGGACGTGGACACGTAAAGCTTCCACATATCTATGAAATACAGTAATGATAAGGCAAAGTGAACTAGGAAATCAGTAAGCATGAATCCTGATTTAACAACTTGCTTTAACTGTTAAAACTATTTCATATCTCTGGACCTAGATCCCTCCTCTGTACGTTGAGAAATAGCACTAGGAAAAATACTGTGCTATTTCTGAGAGGTATTAACCAATCAAGATATCTGTGACGTTATATACCCTTAAATGAGGAAAAGTGTGAGAAGACAGTCAATTGTTTTCAGGGAAATGAAATACCAATTTCCTATTAAGTCTCCTCTAGAGGCAGAATTTCAAACAGAACTTTTCACTTTACCTCACATATTCTTTTTCTCTCTGTTGTTGCTTTTCTCTGGCACCTTTTATTTCTTCAAGTTGTAACTGGCCTAAACTGTCACTCATCTTCTCCTCTGAATATGGTGCTCCATGAGATCTCATTCTCATGATCCTCTGCTCTTCAACATACCATTGCTCTTTCTTTTTCTTAATTCTGAGAATAAAATCAGACATGATCAGGAATTTCATAAAGTTGTTGGTCAAAATTAGCTTCTGGATGAAAACACATCAAGAAATTCCCAGAAACAAGTTGGTCAGGAAATTAGTTTAACACCCCAAGAGTATCTTCATAAGTTGTTGCTGGCTAATTTGAATTTATCCAACAGTCATCTAAATACATGGCCTCTCAAAGGAAAATGAAAATAAATTTTCTGTAAGAATCTTAGCATGAGAGCCATTCAAGTTAAAAATATAAGAAGACAGGACTTTTACTTCTGGACAAAAATGGAGTTAACAGGGACCAGATTTGCCCTCCCACGCTGGACAATGAAAGAAACTTAAAAAGTAATAAAGCAAATTGGACAAAATATAAGGGACAATGGTTTTCAAGACACTAGGCATAAGCCAACAGAAGGTAATGGTTCCTGGGCCAGGGATTTAGCTCAGTGGTTCCACCGCCTGCCTTGCAAGCTCAAGGTCCTGAGTTCAGTCCCTGGTACCAAAAAAAAGAAGGTAATGGTTCCTGACAGATGGGAAGCAAATAAAGCCAGCCCTGTAACTGGCAGACATTACTGCCTTAAAAGTTTTCAGGCAATGGTGCAGGGTGGAATTCAAGTGGAGCCTGGTAGACTTCCCGAGTTACGGAGATGGAGCTGAGAGAGGGCAGGGAGAGAAGGAAAATTAGGGAAACAATACCAGGGAGAGAACTGCTCCGAGAGAAAATCCAAGAAAGGAACAGTCTCCTGTATACAGCAAAGAACCACAGGGTTAAAAAAATCTAAAACCAGTAAGACACACACACACACACACACACACACACACACACACACAGTGATCAATTAAAAAATGGGTGGAGGACTTAAGCAGGCACTTAGCCAAAAATGATACACAAAATGGCCAACATACATATGAAAAGATACTCAACATCACTAATTACCAAGAAAATACAAACCAATGCCACAATAAAATGACACCTAATAGCTGTGAAAATATGAGCAACTGGAACCCCGATGGGATTATAAATTGGTATAACACTATGGAAAAGCATATGGAGGTGGCTCTAAAAATTAAAATAGAGGGCCAGGGATTTAGCTCAGTGGTTTTGCC